GTTGAGTCTGCTGAACGCAGCTATTGGCTGCGTTCAGCAGAACGTTTGTTTTGCAACTGTTGTAAGTTTCCTTCGCGCTAATTGGATCATACTTTTAGATCTAGAAGAATGGTTCTATCTCAGCAGACAATCATAAAACTGTTGCAAAACTGTTGAGTCTGCTGAACGCAGCCACTATTTCTGCCAATAAAATACGCTATAGGTTATTAACACTGCTTGATATAGATCGCGTTCAGCAAACTCAACTGTTGCGGAGCGGATCAGTGAGCTCTCGCTGCTATTGGATAATCTAAAAGAATACACCAATAGCAGCGAGCGCTCACGGATCCACTCCACAACAGTTGAGTCTGCTGAACGCGACCATACTCTCTTTCCGTAGAGTACAGCAGACAGCTACAAATCAAACCTACATCTCTTAATTTAGCGCTTAATCTTAAAAGTTGAGCTAATTAAGGATAAATAATTAATGCTTATAATATTTTATGACTAAAAACGCCCGTGTTTTGCATTTTTAAATAAATATACGACAGGAAAAGAACTCGATACATTTATACACGTTCGCTCCATTGTGAAAGGTTACCTAACCAATAAGTAGATATTTCAAATTGTGATCGGATAAATTGTTATGTTATTCAAAGCAACAGTTAATATTATTAGGAGATCGGTGTGTTACAATGTGCGTACACTTTGTCGCCTACGAGATCCTTTACAATCAAATCTCTTATTGTGCAACGGCGGTGCAAAACCAAATAGTGTACAAAATTATTGTTCCTTGTACGTAGCAAAAAGATTCAAATCCAAAAAGAAGAAGGCTGTTAATATTGTAACTAATATAATTTATTTAATTTCTTTTCCTTAATATGACCTATTTAATGTCTTCCACTTGTTTATTTCTCCGGCAAGCTTTTAAACACAGATGAATGTATTCTCTTTGGAAATATATTGCAGAAGAAAGATGAGGATTCTGATGAGGAGAAAGAGAAAGACGATGAGGAGGAAGCTCCCATAGGTTCAAAAGTTATTAAAATAAAGGTATCTTCTATTCGATTAGATACCATTTCCAAAGCTGGATTTGGAATGTCTCGCAAGTATGTCTAATTTTATTTTGACTTGTGTACTATATTTGCGCAAATATAACATATTGCTTCATAATTTATATTTTTATTTAAATCTTATTTACTTTACATTTTTTTTAGTAAAATTGAAGAAGCCTTTTATGCAAGCAAGATTCGTATAAATGGAAATAAAGTATTTAAAAAATCTAAAGAGGTAAGTTTATTATTTTTGTAATAAAGCTGAAACCTATTGATATAGTAAGATTATTATTACCTTTATATCTTGTACAATTATACATAGAATAATTGTGATAACAGATGAAAATAGGAGATGAAATCGATTTAATTTTACATCAAAGTATGGATAATCCTGAACTGCTAGTTGTAAACAGAATTGTGATATTATCAATGGATCTTATAAATGATCGTGTACAAGTGAAGTTATCTATAGATAGAAACTTACTAATTGAACATTATGAGGATTCACATTTATAATTTAAAATTAAACTTTTACATGTCAATAAAAGTGCATATTGTACATAATAAAGATATTAATATTATATTTAAATAATTCTTAGTAATTTAATAATTTATCCTTGACTTACTAAACTATTTATATGTATTACATTTATAATATATTTATGTATGGGTGTGTAAAAGGAGAAATTATTTAAAAACAAGAAATATATTAAAATTATGGAATACACTAATATATATGTTATTTTATTCTGTAATTTCTTTTATTTTGTCAGAGATTGGCTGCTGAATTGCTCCTACTTCTTGCAACAAGTCTTGTTTAGATTCAAAGTATTCTTTATACCACATAATATGTCCAATCTTCTCTTGAACTGTCAAGTATGGATTCTTTGAAAGTCCGGTGCACACTAATTCCATAAAATGACGAATTGGTCCTGATTTAGGACACCATCCCTTCAGATGACGTTCCATAAAGACATGTTCTGAGAAATGAACATTGTGCTCTTCTTCCATTTCTGAAATATATAGAAATGATCAAATTCAGTTTTTCCAAGTGCTAGAAGAACATAATATATAAGCACGTATAGTAAAAACCTTGCTCATTGTCAATAGGGAATTTCCATAATTTTCCTTGCTCCGTCCAAAGAATTAGTTCTTGAAAAATATTGGCAGGTGGATGAGTTGTCAATGCTTTTAATTCTCTTTGTTCTAATGCCGCCCATGTTTTCAGTTCCGGTATATTTGGTGAAGCAGCATTCATATTTTCAAAAATGTCACTAGACTTTCCATTCCACAAATCGATTTGGAGTCTATCATATAATAATAAAAAATTATACGTTAAATATATAATTTTTTTAAATATCTAAATATGTTAGACTATAATATAATATAATAAATAATATAATTTTTGTATAAATGACTGGATTTAATCTCTATAATATAATAACAATTAATATATTTCTTGCAATACCTGGCATGAGGCGTTTTTTTATCAATATCCTGTAACTTCTCTTTAGATGCTTTAACACCACGTAATAACTGTCTTGATATACTATTTTCAACTACTTTCTTTATCGGTTGCTTATTATATTTGTCCAGTAGGGTTTGTATTATAGACTTTTTTTCTAAATGTTTGTCTTCGGAACTTTTTTGTACATCATATTTTGACAATTGTTTGACATTTTTCTGCATTTTACTGTTAAATAAAATTATATCAAAAATATTTTTTAAAAACTTATAGAATTACAAACACATACATATTACTATATGTAATATATATAATTTATTGTACTTAGTGATGCAACAATACATCTACATACATGCTTCTCTGTTCTTCTTTTAGTGCTGATACTCTAGATGCAAGAACTTTTTCAAGCAAATCTGATGTTGTTTTGGTTTTATCTCCACCAAGCACGTTAGCCACATCTTCTGCCGCGCTTACTATTTTCTTTTCTACAAAAAAAAAATAATTTAATTAGGTAAAACGTGAATCTGCACAAACATAGAATTATCAGTGGATAAAGTTACCAAAAGGCTCATGTTTTTTATTTGCTTTATCTTCCTTCTTTTTAGGCTGCATGCCAACATCAACAGTTTTCTGCGTTTTTCTCACCTAAGAAAGCAATAACAGATATCTTCATTAAAATATATACCAGTTTATATTTGTCTCTGAAAAATATCTCATTACATATTATTTTTAAATGTATCAACATTTTACTTTAAAATATAACACAATTTAGCAATAATTATTATTTAAATACTCAATTTGATTGCTGCGTTCTTAAATGCAACAATTTAAAGAAAATATTTTAAAATATTGTGTGGAACACATTATTTTTAAAAAAGAAAATGTTTGTATTATTTTTTCAAAGTAAGAATTCTTATTGTTAGTATCTCTAGATGGTTTACTATAAAAATAGAGTAAAATAATAGAGATTCCTAATAGAGATGAAATAATATATTCTAGATATTCTCTGGATAACAGAACTTAAAATAGATCTCATTACTCAAAAATCTCATAATTTACTTGTAACATGTTATTCAAGAAGTTTTCCAAGTCGTATTTGTTATCTGATGTTGCACTTGCAGAACTTGCACTTTTAACATGAATTTCCTTTGGTTTTGCTTTTTCAGAATCAGAATCAGAATCAGATGAATCAGATGAATCTGATGAATCTGATGATGATGATGATGAAGATGGTGAAGATGAAGAGCATAATCTCATGGAAATATTTATCCATTGAAATAATATTCCACTTGAGGATCTTATATTACATCTGCAAATATATTTCTTGATGTAATAACGAAAATTATAAATTAATAGTATTTCATACAGAATAATACAAGTCTAATAAAAACATAAATCAATAATAATATTATAAATCACTTCATGCATAACTGCATGTATATGTATAAAAAAATAAAGATCTAGTTTAATATATAAAATTTACAATGGCAAACTAGATAAAATATAAATTAAAAAGTACACCATACGATTCATTACCATTGAGGATATATAATCTTGTTTAATTATACAATATTTTACTATTATATACTTATTATAATAAAAATTCTACACATTACAAGCTATAGAAAACTTTCTCAACAGACATCTTAATACACAACATTTCCAACTATCCATTAATTTCAATATCTTAGTGCAAATGTACTTACTTCGATAATATGTGTAAGGGCAACATATTTCCACATAAATATTTTACAACTTATTTACTCAATTATACCACACTGAGAAATGAGCACAAAATAGCACTTGATAGTCTCTTATTCGGGAACAAGCAATTATAGAGGCCATAGAATCTAATAAGAAAAAATTAAATTGAGTTGACAGTCGCATGTTAATAGTAGCGACAATAATGTACTATATATCAAATATTTATATACAAAGATTAATAACAAATGTAATTACAAAATAATAATAGTAAAATAAGAAATTCTAACCTAAAGAAAATAGCTTGAGAGCGATCGTCTCGGCGATGTTATCATTGGCTGCATTCAGCAAAGAAAACCGCTCACTGAGCGCTCCTTGAGCAAAAAAGGGATTGATCTATGAGTAATATGTTTTTTTTATTATAATGTAGAATGTTCTTACTTATTTATTGTTTATTTCTCTAATGCCGTGTTTGGGCCATAAGGTTATGTAGTGCTCAGTGAGCGGTGGAGCGACTTTTAATTACGCTCCACCGCTCACTGAGCGCTACATAACCTTACGGCCCAAACACGGCATTAGAGAAATAATAAA